TAGACAATGCGCATCACAATACAGCAATAGTATTGTTGTGACACAGTCCATTAATACCATCTCCATGGTTACCAAGTTAGTGGTGTTCAGAGTCGTGTTTTGTTGAAGTGAGCGACTGTTGATTATAGCAGATTGCCTCGAGATATTGTATGCATTTTATTTTCCAATTTATTTACACTGTATTTGACTTTTTCTTCTTTATAATATAGTGTCCAGAGTTATTTTATAGGTGCCGCTGCTCGATAACCACCACTGATTTCCCGCGTCCTTTTCATCCTGTAATATGGCCTATTTATAATTCATTGCCATTTGCATGTTTGCGCCTATTTAAACTATGGTTATATATAAACTATTTATTAGTGTTTATAGTGTTCGCAATCAGGCTATTTCTAGACAATATATACAACACGTATCAGCATTTCAGACCTTTACTTACCCGATTAATCAGGGAATACCCTACGAGTTATCCGATGGGATGGGATTTTCAAACCTGTACCGGTACATTTTATTCTTAAAACATAACTTCCGAGTTTCCAAATTAAATTAGATGACGAATCTTGGGTGTCGCTGCTCGATAACCAAATTTGGTTCCCCGCGGCTTCCCTTCCCCAGTAAAAATGTGTGTTAAATTTTGTTTATCTTTTGATTTTGTATGTTATTTTTTTGCTGGTTGGAAAAAATAAAATTGACTATGACTATTTCACTGCGTTACGGTACCGGTATGGCAACTTACCAGTACCGACCTACAGTAGCTGTAGTACTGAGCAAGACAATCGATCGCGAAACCGCTTGAAATAAGTGTAAAACAGTGTTCCCATGAGTAAAAATAAATACCGCGAAGTTTTGTATGAAATATCATATCTCATAGGATTCATATAAAATTTAGGAATAAATAAAAGTAATAGCCTTCTGGGGAAAAATATAATCTTTACTCACTGAAAATTTCAAAGCAATTGGTCCAGTAATCAACGAGAAAAGCGATTTTTTCATAACGATACCAAGAAGAAGACAAATAAGAACAAGAACAACAAAAATACCAAAACGATCGTTATGTCCACTAACGTGTCCAATAAATGTACTGATGGTCTTCAATACCAGGCAGAATTCAATGACCAATATTTTATGTTAGTAATGAAATTTAAACAGCATTTTTGTATTTTGAGACAAAACGGGAGAATGTGTAACTTACGGCAATTAGCTTGACGAATTATAAAAAGTGACGAAGAAAGATGAAATTTTGTCAATATAAATGGGACATATGAACAAGATATATCTCAATAAAATAGCAATTTGGCGAATCACAGATATAAATTATCGGTGGCTGTTGGGTACTGGATAATGAAGCGACGTACTGAAACGTCTGCAATCTGCGGATCTATAGATTATTAACGTCTACTGGATGAGGGAATCTAAAAAAGCAATAATTATAGAGGCTTATTAACTTGTTCGAACCATATTTATGCATCAAAGATATTCACAAAATTTATAATAAATCACATGTTCGAAAGTAAAGACAAAATTGCAGTTTAATTAACAGCATAACTTTACTTAAACTTGGTGAATGACTGCAACAGCATGACTACAGTATGAATTCAAAATGTGTGAGTTTTGACTCTCCCTGTATAACGCTGTTGAATTACCTAAAAAGGCAAAATAGGTGTTCAGCTTTCTACAGGAAATGATGTCTCGAAAACGATGACGGTTTACTGGCCTCTTACAATTTGTATTTGATGATAGCAAATAAAGTGCAAGCCGCCTACCATTGGCGACGAATTTTTTCAACATCAGTACAGGAAGTTTTGGATACGGTTCTATTACATTTGAACCCACGTACATTTGAACCCACGACAATTGCACCTGCGTACTGTTGCACCTATGGAAATTATTTTTTTTCACGGATATTTGAACCCATACTAACCATAACCCATGGTTTTAGCACCCGTATATAGATTGAACCCGCGGATATACACATGGGTTCAAATGTACGGTCACCTTTGGATACGGTTTTTCAGTAAAATACGCCTTCTGTGGTTATTTCATGTCTATTCCATTGAGCAATAATAAAGTGCAGGTTGATGGGATGGCTGCTGATATAGCAGATAGGCTATGCAGTTTAATCAGGAATACAAAATTTATTCTTTAGTTAGATGAGTCCATACTGCCAGGAAACGAGCCACTAGAGCACGGACTGCGTCACTGCTATGATTGGTCTTTAGTTTCATTAAAGAATCGAAGTTTATTAAATATGCTGACGATTCACTGTGCAGTAATTCATCGCAAACCTTCATTGGCCAAGAATATTAGAGGCCGTCGGATTTTTTCTTGACAATAGCCATGAAGGCAGTAAATAATATAAAAGTCTTTGCGCTAAACCAGCGGTTCCCAAAGTGGGCGAAAATCCCCCTTGTGGGCGTTTGCGATAACTTGGGAGGCGCTAATGGCGATTTGGGCAATTAGGGGGGCGCTGGCTGTCAAACTGGGCGATTGGGCGCTGACATCAATAGGGAAACTCACAATAACTGTGGTATTCTATGTCATTCACTTCTATGTTTTGGTTCAAACTAGTTTGCTTGTGATTTCGGTGTTCGCTTAACGTAGAACAGATGCTATGACTTTTTTAAAATCTTATTGTTTCATAATAATACTAGTCTAGAGCATAAGTCATATATTCTTCACCATGCACTTAACGTTTCGTTGTACTGTATTGAATAACAGCTTCATTTTACCAACGGGTTCTATGATGCTTTAAAGCGGTAGTGTAAGTACAACACCCTTATGTCATAATTTTGGTTTTGTTAAGAGCAATACGGCGCAAGATAATTTTTGTGCAAAAGAAATAAATAATTTGCCAATTTTTATTTAAGAAGGGATGCATGCACAAGACCTACTAAAGTCTAGTAACTAGACTAAAACACCAATGTGCGGCATGCACCCCATTTGACAAATATAGCAGAGTAGTATGGACGGAAAAATATGTTATGTCAGAACTTATGGTATTGAACCTCCTTTGGAGTTGGTGCGTATTTTCTCCGTCGGTAGTATAATCTATATCGATGTTTCTCAACCTTTTTTCGTCTAAAGCAAAAATGCACACACAATAGAAACAAATGCTAAAGTTTATGGCACCAGTTTCTCCCAAAATCAACTCTGCCGTCTTCAAAGCCTAGGGCTTGTGAGGATTTAACGCTAGGCTTACCATACGTCCCGCTTTAGGCGGGACAATCACGCTTTTTAGCGTCTTGTCGCGCCGTGTAAGCCAAAAGTCCCGCTTTGGCGTCCAGCCATCCAGCATAATACACGAGCATGTTCTCGCTACTGTTGTTTCTGTGTAGCGCAGCGCTAGCCTACATACTAGAATTGAATGCGTTTGTTTCGTTGTTTCCCCCTAACATTGTTAGAAAACGTATCGCTTGTAAAACCAATACTAATTAGTCTAAATTCGAATTATTTGTACCAGTATCGTTAACGTCAATTCCTTTCTACTTTTCGAACTGAACCCGATATTTGGACAGAGAATATGCGCATGAATTCTCGATGAAGACAGCCGGGATAGCTTTAAATGTAGGCCTACGTAGGAAAATCGGAAAATGTATAGTTACAAAATCACAGCTAGGGGGTCGTTGTCTTTATAAACGTCCCACTTAGAAGTCACAAAAATATGGTAACCCTATTTAACCCTGAAGCCACTTTGTAGGAAGCCCGAACGAATACAGTGCTCTGCTGTGGTACATATATATCCATTCCCATCTATTTTTTGCAAAGAATGAGTATTTTTTCGCATGTCATGGATGTTAATGGTGCAAGTTATTTGCAGCAACTTCGCATTATGCGAACATTGGCATTACAATATATTGTGGGCTTATTGACCTCTTAGGATTCAGATTAGGGTTTATTCCGCTAACGTATGTATTTATATCGTATACATATATATAATACAGGCGTAAGGACACGTAGATTGGGACATAATTAGCCGGCAAACAACTTAAATTGCTTCATTTAAAATGGGAAAGCAAGTTATCAAGGATGAAGTCAATGGAACATACATCAACTCAAGAATCAAACCGAAGTCTCAGGTTGTATGTTAATTTAATAGGCAGTCGAGAAAACCAGAACGGGCGCTCCAGGGTATATTCACTCAGCTAACACAGAGAGTCCCCGAACTCGTAATAGAACTAAAATAAAGAAAATCGGAATAAAATTATCGCCTAGCCCTAACCTGCTACTACAGATGTACCGCATTTTGTCTCAAAACGGGTTATCTGGACCAGGACCTCCAACAAGCAGACCTACTAGTCGGAGTATTCGTGCCAGTCAGGGGCGTAGCCAGAAGGGGGGTTCTGAAATTTTTATTTGCCAAGTTGGATCGAAACAGCTAGAGGGTCCGATTGAACGCTGGAATATGCGGATTTTTATTAGTCTTTAGGGTCTAAAAAGCATTTCAAGCTACGCAAACGTACTATCTATGATACAGAAGAATGATTTTATTTTTTTAAGAGCACGGTATTGCGATCCTGCATTTGGAAACGATTTTGTGACGAAAGGATTCTTACTGATTGTTGACTATTAAATCCAAATGCTTGCCAGGGCAAAGAATATGATGTATATATACTTAAACTTCTGACTGATATATTGTTCAATAACTATGTCTTACACGACTTGCCTGCCAAAATTGCCACACGTTTACCAGGGTACTTGAATTCACTTAACTTTTCTAAATTTAATCAGTATTCTGTCGCAGATAATATATGGGGTCAAAAATTGTTAAAGGCTATAGTCGGACAAACTTAATAAACCTTCATTTGAAAAAAAAAGTTTTTGAGCGTCGTTTTGACAGTAATAGATGAGGAAACTGGCAAATTTCAGGATTATTAAATTGACCGTCCGAAAATGCCTTTACCAATATTTTTCTTAGGTTTCCACTGAATTAGACATGCCTGCCGCAGGTGCTATTTCGGACAATAAATGATTGGAACACAGCTATTCTACACATAGTAAAAAAGTCATTGTCCCATTAGTTTTTATTTATTGTATAAAACCTTGAAACAAGAGAGATGTTTTCAATAGGAGATAAGTTCACGCTGATACCTTTGTCAGGAGGTACAAACAGGAAAACATTCAAACATAAAACAACAAGGAAAACTAATGACACAGTAAAGGTGGTCTGGAAATGGTGGGAAAGCTAAGCCCTGTGGAAGAATTCCTATAGGTACCTTTGGCCTGTCTGATGCTGAATGGAAAGACTATTCAGACAAAAATATATTTTCCATCAGGGCCCGAATTGTATACCAAGTCATGGGGAAATATGGAATTCCGCACAAAAGTTCCAGAAAAAATAGTAATCCTGTTTATACCATGTAACAAAATAATACGACAATAATTTAAAAACACCAAAAAAGTAAAATAAGGCAAAAAATAAAAAAAATCAGTACTTTCTCGATCAAGTGAAAGGACCTAACAATAAACATTTGGCAGTACTGTGAGGTTGAAATGAAAATGTCGCTTTGTAGAGAAGGTGCCCCAAATTCCCCAAGGGCCATAGAAGCTACTTTTCGAGAACATGTACTAAAATACATTTTTTTGTTATTGTGGTATCTCTTCAGTGTTAAAATCAACGTTATTCTCTATATTAAAATAAGTGAACAGTTAGTTGACTGCAGTTGTACCAATGAATATTAAGTGGTGCATCAGCCTGAAGCAACTCCTGAAACCATTCATAAAACACCGGCCTTAAGACCATAATCACATATAAAAATCCATATTTAACAAAATCAAAAAATGTTATGAAAAAAATAGAAAAATTTCATGACACAAAAAAGGAAAAAAATCAAGATGCCGCTGAAATGATAAAAATACACAACTATGAAAAACATGGACAGTCGGCACAAAAATAGCAGCATATTCTGTGTACTTGTACAAAAATGTTTGTGGAAATGAAAACTTCTTGCACAAGTATGAATAAATCACATATCCAGCAATAAAGTATTGGGATGTCAATGTATAATGCTTGGTAAATGCAAAAATCCCAAGTTCCTTCAGTGTTCTTGCACTGAAGTTAGTTCCTCAAGACATTTGTTTAAAGCCTTTTTCAAGTCTGCATAAGAAACAACAAGAACGTTTTGTTCATCCCTCGACATTAAACAAATCTTCTCAGGTACCCCTGCGTCCAACTAAAAGTGAAATGAAATATAAGAATTTTATGAAAACGAGACAACTTTTGTCAATAGCAATATATGAAAAGGCCGGAATACTGCAAACAAATGATGTAACATATACAGAACACTTTAAATAAATTCATGAATGATAAGATTTTTTCATACTTAGAGAAAAGCTGATGTAGAGGCTTATATATGTGGCGACCGATATACAGAACTCTTTGGCGGAAGATGCCATCTCGCACATATTTATCTAGATTCAAAACTGCAAACCAACTCTAGGTAGGTAATCAGAGTTGTGATGGTAAGCGTATTCTTAACACTTGGCACAATGTGCCCACCCACAGCACCGTGATACATCAGAAAATCATCTGAATGACTACAGGTATGGTCTTTTCAATAGTTTTGTAAACTGGTTATTAACAGGGAATATTTTCATATTTTAATTTCTCATTCCACCACATTATTATTACATACTGATATGACATTGAAAAACATTACCTTATTTAGACATTGCACAATGTGAGCCATATCAATCCATGGTGCACCAGTTTCAGAAACCTAGGAAAATGAAAGCACCATTAAAAGATAGCTTGAAGGATGTATGAAATATATGCAAATAGTTCAGCATTCTATGAATGACCTTATATTTATTTGAAAAATTAAGTGCATTTTGAAGCAGAATCATAAAAAAATACGATTTTGACCAGAAAAAAGTCAAATTCAAAATAGAATAACACCAATCTTGGTATCTAGATTCATAAAACTCCAATTTCGAATAAATCGAATATTATCAGTCTTAAACTCCCCTTTTTCCCTCTTTGAATATCCCTAGTTTGCATTTGATATATGTTATTACAATTTTTATCCGAGATCAATCATCCAGAATTGTTCATTTATTCATTACTACTGCGTTACTGACACAAATTTACCATCATAATAGAGTCGAGCGACTCAATTGCCTCCAAACATCACTAAAAAGACACAAAAAAAATCTGTACATCACAAAATATGGTAGAATAACAATTTATGGTTGATATACCTGATGAAAAACATGGTCCCTAAAAAGTTTAAGAAGATATCTGTCTCCAGTTTCTGACCAATCTCTTTCCATTCCTAATCCCGGTCGTTCATTAATGATGCAAAGTTTTGAAATGACTCGAAACAATCTGCCATTTTCGACCTCCTGCAATATATATATAGTGATATGAGATGAGTTACTGAATGCCACACAAAATAGTTAGGAAAATATGTGAAAGTCTATAAATTGATAGAAATTGTCATCAATTATGGATTGGGTAAAACAGAAAGAAGAATGTTGCATACTACACAGTGAAACAGTGTCTTGGTTGAATATAGGAACAGTTAAGCAGTTGACTATCCAGGACAGTAACTGTGTTATTAAAATGGATCTGATTTACCAGCGTCTCGTCATGAAAAACTTGCAGTATAGATTTAAAGCAGCTGCCCATAACATTTCTATCTGCATTATTTTCACTATTGAAAAGAATTGTCACTAGATTCAACATATTCAGAACATATTTCAGAAGTAAAATCTTATTAAACTCCACTTTACATTGAAGACTATACCTTGGCTAGTTCATTTTCGATAACGTCACTTCTCATTATTGACGAGTCAAGTTGTGTATAAAATCTTGCACCAATCATTGGCATGATGTCGTTTACGCTTCTTGGTCTTTGTTGAGGTGTCAGCAAATACCTGAAACAGAATTGAACAATTATGGCATAGTAAGACAATGTTTTATTAAATTATAATTGCAATTGCATTCTGAGTTTGTATAAAATCTACAACGTCTATTATATTGAACCAAGGTAGATGAAAGTGCATTGTAGAAAGTCCGATGTTTTCAAAATCAACACCAGAATTTGAATGAGCTTTTTTTCCATGAATGTCATATACTGCAACAAGAGCAATAAATTCAAGATATAAATTAGTTCATTACTCGTTTATCTTTGAGGAAAATATTGTGAAGTGAGGCAATATAAAAAATAAACAAACTACGCACAGAATGAAATTCTTCAAATCCGTCGAATAATTCATTACAACTAGCTCAAGAGATTGCGGAAAGTTGTCTCTCTGAAAAGCTGCTACGGAATTACAAGCCAGTGCAAGAACAACCTGAAATATTCAAAAAGAGATTGGTAATTTCATACACAGACTTCCAATATGAGTCTGATGTCCTACCAGAATAAATTTTGCATCTTATAGTGAATTAGATGTGGACACCCACCCATCGAACTTTTTGTAATAATGCAGACATATTTCAGCTGGTGATCATGTTGCTGTACACAGCTTTGTGAAACAGAATTCATAGCAAATATACTAGGGACTTGAGGCGGATTTGCAAGGTTACTGTTATAAACAAACTCCAGTTTAATAATTATTGTGACAGGCACAACATAGTTGAAACAACTCAATCAATATAAATCCCCATTGTGTCCAAGAAAATTCTATGCTGATACTTTTTTTTGAGTTGAACTTACTTTTCCCAAAGCAACTAAGTCATCCTGCTGATACTGTGGCATGTGAGCTCTTGGATTGGAATGTGAACTATCATATCCTAATACATCAAATATTCCCACACCATTGACTCGTAACCTGGAAATAAATGAAATTACAAGTGAGTTGCAGAGACATGAAAGATTAGTCAGAAAAGTAAAGTAGCGCCGATTCCACATATTCTGGGCTTAGAGTATAAAAATAAAATATAGAATTTGTATGATTATATTGAGCCCACACTCTATATATGTTTTAATTATTAACAATTGCCCTTGTATTTGCATCATTGGGAGATTAAGATCATTTTCCAAACACAACATAGCTTGTCAACTTCATTCTGACCCTAACGTGGTGTTATTTTTTCGTACATAGTGTTTATATATTTATTATATATATGTGAATTTTTCTTTTGAATATACAGCCGGCGGCCGCGACATGATAAGCAGACTAATTGAATTTTTTAGTATATTTCGTGATTTTCATGTGATTATTTTGGCCATCTACATCCTAATGTTTGTAAGTTATATTTCCGCCAGTTCTCATTATCCCGCATGAATTGAGTCTTGTGCCCAACAAGAATCAATTTTTTAAGTATCCTATCTCTGGGGTAGAACTGCATGTTATTTACCGTAAATGTTGAAGTTACTGTGCGATTATCAGCGAGGAAAACATTGAAAAAATTTATAGGAGTGAATTTGTAACCCAAATCATTCATTATGTCAGTGCTGTGGTTCCCCGTTAAAATATTTATAAAATCGAGAATAATAGTAGTTCTACACATTCGAAATAATGTAAACCCTTCAGATGTCTCAGAAAAGTTACATACAATACTTTATTACTTGGTTTGATGTTAGGAAATTTACAAACAGCCCACTAAAAAGTTGTCAAAATTCTCCCAACATCCGAATAGTGTGCCCATCCCTACTCAAAAAGGAAAAATTATTTGCCCTGATGGATTTTATGTGAATAAAATGGCTTTTTGTAGACCGGTATTTTAGTTTGGTAAGAAAGGTCGTGGCTCATAGCACTAAAGGGGTTAGGTAGGCCTAATATAGAATGATTATACATAATTAATCGATGCTAAAATGTTATTGCTGCCAGATGTTTTAATTCCAGATAATACATATATGCTGTTTCATGCATCAATTGAAAAAATGTATAAAGTATTCAAATATAATTTGCCTTCTCAACTTACGAATATGCAAATTTTGGACAACTTCTGAGTATTATAATAATAAATACTGAGATAGCTGATTCAAATCATAAGTCTGACTGATCTGACGAGGTTGGGAAACGTTCTGACCCAGTTATTCTTCCATTGAGGCTTGGATTTATCTAATCAGATTCTTCCTGGAATGGAATAGTAGCTATAAAATTACTAACCTTGATTTTCCTGTTATGATTATTTTAGTTGGATCCATAACTCTGCATGCAAGACCAGCAGAGTGTATACAACGAAGAGCTGAAGTTAACTGAACAACGTAAGTCCATATTAAACTCTCCGGAAGTAAACCTACATTGTCAAGAAAACATCAGAAATATAAATAAAACAATCGAAGTCCATGATATGAACACAACAGTAATAGAACTGTTCTAATACCTGACTTTCCTCCATTATTGTTCCACTTTGTTTTTGATGCGTAATTATTATTTGGATTTTGAAAATGTCTAGACATCAATGTTTCAGCATCAGCATGATAGTCATGGGAAAATATTAACGCTGAAAGTAGATCACATTTACTGTATATAAAATCGTATTGGGTATGTAACTAAAATAAATACTTACAGTGTTCACCAAATGCTTTTGACGTAAAAACTTCTCTCAACATAACAATGTTTGCATGCTGAATTTTTTTCCACATTTCAACAAGAACCATACACTTTTGATTGACCTGTCGAAAACCTGGACGAGGCAAAAGGAATGAATTCAGATCAAAGTCATATAAGAAAGCAGTATAACAGGTTAAAAATCATGATCATCCTATTTACCATGTATTCTCCTCAAACAGTAAGGTAGTCCATCCTTATATTTTATCGCTTTATAACATGATGTTACAAAACTAAATGTGCTGGATTTCTGCATTGGAGTATCCACTATAGGTTCTAATGGAAATAAACTGTGATAGTTGTCAACCTCAGCAGGTACACCTGGATTTGTAGAGAAAACGTTGATGAACATGAAAAGGAAATGAGGTATATTTTCACTGTAAGCCCGGAGGATTCATATACAACGATTTACATGATATTTTTACATTATGTTACCACCTAATGTGGGAAAGATGAGAAACTTGGGGTGTTATCGAGCATCATTCCAAATTCCAATCTCACAACCCCCTTTGTATCTAGTGTGATAAAGCTTTGTTCTTGATTTAGTCCGGCGTTATAGTATGGTCGGTGCTTTTGCTCATGTTTTGACATTTTTCAGTCTTTAACGAGGCCACGAACTCACCTTGTTATACCTTGTATGCACCAGGCGGTGCACACCACATACTAGACTCCAATCCAACTTATCAATTCAATAAGATAGAGATATTTTGAATATTTATCATGCTACAGAAATCTCACTAGTTTATGCCCAAAAGCAATATTTTACCCATCATAACTGCATTTATATTTCTGTCATAAATTCTTATTTGAATAAAGATTTTAAAATATAAAGTGACTTGGTGCAATAACATGAATTATTTATTTTCAATTTAGTAAATACTGTTGAAGTTTGGAAAAAATACTGAAAGAGTACATACTCGTGTCCTGTTCTGCATCCACTGTTAACATTGTCAAGGTTTGTTTTCGTAATATAGATTGTCGTAGTTCATTAGGCATGAAGAAAGACGGAGCATTAACCCGTTGTTTCATGTATTCAACGCTAGGTGGTGATCCAGTAAATGCATGAAATGTAGGCATGACCTGAAAAGTTTCAATTATCGCTCACGGCATTATCAAAAGAAATCATTGAATTGGCATAAGAATTTATGAAACATTTTAAGAATTACCATGGATATATTTTGCCTTTTTTGATTTTGTGTAAAGAAATATGTTGTGCCGCCGAAATTTTCCTGTGCCACTCCACGTTGCATATCTCCATCCACTGTGGGTTGTGGGTGGAGGTCTGAAAATTTTGGAATGTGAACAAAACATTCGTAATAGGATAGAATTTAGATATTTATCCTGTGGAGAGGAAAAACGATAGAACGGCATATGGCAAACCACTCGTTCGGTTATCAGTCCCTGTCGGGTATGGGATTAGTTAGCCAATTATTTGTTTTCCGATGCATGGACTTGATGGTGGAGGAAGCCGTAATCGACCAGCGGTTACGTGAACCACCCTATGGCGATGAGGAGTCCAGCAATCCTCTCGCACATAATTAACCCTTCATGTGATTCGAACCTGCGAACCCACGCATGGTAATCAGGAGTGCGGTAGCGAGGGTATTCCTAATGCTTAGCATGATGTGCCACACCGCCCAGCCCAATACTGCTAGCTGATGCTCCTACTGCCTCAGCTAACTAATACAAATTATGGACTACTAGTGTAGTGAACAATGAATAAGTACTTTACCGGTATTTATTGGTTCTAAAGGTGATGATCTATGACCGACGTGACTTGCTGCTCGTCGAGCCTGAAGCGGCGATGACCGGTCAGGAGTGTCAGTCGATGTTCTTTGTCCCATGAGTTGTGTCATATTACTGCTGGAACCATTTGGTAACATGTGATGAGCAAAAGGCGAAGAAGTTGCTGGTAAGTATCCTGGAATTGATGATGACAGAAATATCAATTATGAAGCTATTTTTTCCTTAATTAAGATTCAATTTTCAACCAGTTATCAAATTAATGTGAAAACCCTCACTCGTGCACACACTAAAACAATTCTTTAGATTCTGTCCTGGAATAAATCTTACACTTACATAGAACTTATTATATTTCTATAACCTTCATTTCAAATTTCATGACATATTTTCTCATGCCTACTGGTATAGATGACTAGTCAAATAAAGTTCTACTTATTTCAAAGCTGCAATATGTGTGTGATATAGGCTATTACTCGGCCTAGACCAAGATTTGAAAGCGACAAGCGTCAAATATTTTCCACACTGTCTGCAAGTAATATTTGTATATCTCATAATTTGGCTACCTGAAGTTTCGTTTCTTTCCTGCTTTTCTTTTCTTCTTGAGCAAAAGCTCTTCTTGATAGAAATCTATTAAAATTTTCTTCTAACCACCTCAAACTATTCTTTAGCTCAAATGTATTGACTTTCGATTTGGCTAAGTGAAATAAATTGAAAGTGCTAGCTACTCCTAATAAGGCATGTATACAAGTGAATGAATATAAACATCAAAACAATCGACTAATATTTCAATTTATTAATTATAATTTCAAAATAATAAAAGAAATGTCCTTATATATATCTCAATACATCTGAAATATCTTTAACATTTCCATTTATAAATAGCAATTCAAAATATGCCAAAATCAAAATGAAAGTAGGAATTAATTAATTGCGATAATAATTTCATTGAAAATTCCGTGTTCACCCGCCGTATACCATACTTGCCAACAAACCCCCAGATATAATAAAAGCAAAAAACAATTTTACTTTTTTTAAATCTTACCTGCATGAGGACTAGCAGTCAATGAAGAATCACTGTCTCCACCTGCATAAAAAGTAGACTGATGGTGTGAAGATACACTGTTGCCGAGTTGCTCCATACTAGTAACGGGTGAAGATATTTGGCCCCCTGTAATGATTTTATACAATTCAACTGAATAAACGAATAATTTTCGAGCGAGTATATAAAAATTTGAGCAAATCAATTTCATTCCATTGAACAAATTAAAAATATTAACCCACATTGGTAAGCTATTCAATCATCTGTGTTGAAGAATGAGAAAATACATAAAATTTATTTATCCAATGTGGTATTTGCATTATCAATATCATACAATGAGAAATCAAAATGAGTCTTGGATTGATTATATAAATGTCATGCTTTGTGTGTGAAATGTCACAAGTATAACGGTTTAAAACTAGCATTGAATGAAGTTCCATAATAATAAAACGTTTGGTTCATATATTCACAATAGCTCACACATCCATCCTAGTATTACACTATCTGACTGTACCTGCTATCATAATATTTTCCATTAGAGGAGAATTAGATTTCCTTATTCCAGCATTGGTCATCATAGACATGTTCAATTCCTGATCTCCCATGGCTCGTGCATTATTTGGAGAAACAAACCTATGAGCTTGTGGTGATAAAAATGCTGCAGGAGGCTGCTGTTGAACTACTCCATTCGGGTGATTTCCCATTTGCGATATTCTTGAACTTGGAATAAATTCTCTGATGCCTGGAATGGCAGGTGCTGGCGGTTGCATTGGTGACTGTTGTTGCATTTGCGAGAGACGCAAGTTCGGAGCTGACTGGTTTCGAGGAACAAACTCCCTTGCTGCAGGGTTCGGTCTAATACCAGGCATATCGGCAACATTGTTCACCCCATTTTGTCCAGAGAGACTCAGGGACTCGAACGAGTTTATAGTCGATGAAAATGAAGGTTGTGGCATAGGTTGAGGAGCTGCATAATAGTATAAATTCATTTCATTGCATTGATAGAAATAGAATATGCAGATAACTTTATAAAAAAATATCAAATATTTATTGATCCAATTTTAAAAAAAAAGCAAGATATGACAGGAGGATTGAAATAAATTTTCTATGTATTTTCATACGATCAATACGACTTAACAAATAAAAATCGTGCGAAAGCTAAAAATAAGGTTGTAGAAATAAAGTGCTTTCACCCTGCTGGGACAGACATTCCCAAACTGTATGCTGAAGCACACTAGTGTGCCATTAAAGAGACCCATGTGTGTCACAAACATTTTGTGCTTATATGTAAATTAAACTTATATTGTTCATCCCACTTACTGTCCTTTTGAACGTGTATTAAAATAATATGCACATAAATCTGTGTGCACTCTCAATAATAATAGCTGTTGCCAAGTATAATAAATGTTGAATATCATACCAGTATATTAACTTGCAAATTGTTTTTAAGTACCTTCCCCCACCAAGCTTGTTAATACCCAAAAGAAACTTTATAATGTATGTGTGCTGCAAACATAAAAAGCATGAAAACCACTGGTCTGGTCAATGAATTGTTGCAACACTAATTATAGACTGTTCTAGAAAAGTCTTTCTAATATCAGAATCATCAAGCTCCCAACAAAACTAAAAGTTAAGCCATTCAAGTATCGTTATACAGATACCAGCATGCAATTCCCTTCAATGATTGCATACACAACACTAGAGAATGTCTTTCCAGTCCAGACTGAACCAACGTTTCAAGGGGAGGTATTCAACCTCTTTGAGGAGGACTTCCGCCTTGCATTCACTGTAGCATTACAAATTCTGTATTTTTTAGTAATAATAAAATATCTATTTCTGAACACCTAATGAACAACTGTACAAAAATGGAAGTGTCACTTCGGTTGGGCAAATAAAGTAGGAATAAAGAGTTTTCAAAATAGGCAAATGGAGGAATTCAATAAAAAAGGTTGGGAACAACTGGTCTGAACACTCAGAATCTGGTTAAGTTTCCATGTTACCAGCATTAGATGACTAACCGCTGTACATGCTAAAATGACATCAATGACCTATTTTCCCTCAAAATTGTGATAGGATATTCTATCCTGAGTGATTTCAAAGACATGAGCTGATTTAAAATTAACTTATATTTGAATGTCTCATGAGCCATAGCAAGACTAAAACTATCAGAATCTCTTGAAGTTGATCAAAAAGCAAAACTCCAGGTTTCAAAATAATATGCAAATAGCCATAAAGCCAATTTCATTTGATTTCACATTCTTTCTTAGAGATTAATAATTGTGAAGGCTGATTAAAGATACTACTACAATTCATCTACAAAAATTCATCTAGTATACAAAAGTTAATCGCTTCTATAAAGAAGATAATGTTTCTACACACAGCAGCTGAACAGCATTTGTGTCTGATCTACCTTTAGCTCTTGGGCTGACCATCAACATTTGCCATGAATTAAATTACATAAACATCAAAATATGAACCATGCTTTTCTATTGGCAACACATTATCACACCAACTACCGATAAATAACACTGTGCCGACTAATTCAGAATATGATCAAATTTCAGATCAGATCTTAGGCTTCATGTAATTTATACTTCCAACTGCAACTAAATAAAGTCAACATGAATTTTGAATATTGTACAATGTTTCGTAGCATCCTACTAAAAAGTATGATGCACAGTATGTGGCAAATGAGTCACAGCATGAAAAAGTAGTCATAGATGGAACTATTGTCACCAGCATACGTGGTTCAAATTTGATTTCCTTTCAATGAATGCAAGGTACAATGACAAAAAAAATTTCACAATGGTAGATTTTATGAATTGTTACAAGGTGAATGCTTATTTCACAGAGCCCTACATGAGATTAGTTTTACATGTTGTAGGTCGATGTAAGTGATGAGAAAACTTTGTTCTCTCTGGATCTATAATTATATCAAAACAGCAGTCTAATAATGTATTGTTTGGAGATAGACTACCTTTAAATAGACAATAGCTGCAGCTGTGTAGATATATATAAGGTTAAATATAAAGGTAAGCCAGTGTAGAACAATATTATGGCATCGATTCATTATATGTCAATACAGCATATCCATTTTATAAAAACATATATAAATGCGTTTGCCACTTGAATAATACTCGGCATAACAAAAAAATTTCGATAATTTTATTTATATAATTTCTCAGTCATATCACATTTTATTGAAGGCAATGAATATTTTTATTTTGCTTTTGACCAGACCCATTTAGTAAAAAGGTTGACAACAGATGATTCAACTATATGACCCTTACATAATTCATTCCCAGTAAAAGGTACTTAAAAAGGGCCGTAATAAAGCTTGTTATATTGCATTGTTAGATGGCAAGAATGCAGGAGTCTCGCCAACCTTTCTCACATTCAACCAATCTTAGTTACAAATTCTCCCGCTATGTAGCACATATTTTTATTCTCTAATATTGTTGTCATATGCTTTGCCACTCCATTCAAAAACTCCACAGTGGCAAACAAATTAGGGGTTCATTCTCTGCAAAAATAGACAACTACCTAGTTTGTTTTATCAACAGCTAATAAATTTAAGTCATAACTGCATGCATCCTTGACCAATCACAGAAGACATATCTACTTACCACGCTGCATACTGAATTAAGACACCTAAGTGACCTAATACATAACACTAGAAGCATAAACTCATTTCTCTACAGCTCCCAACTTCATACTCAGGAATATTTTTGTTCTCTATACCAGTGGTTCCCAAATTTTTTGACCATCGCCCCCCTACAGTAGTTTATACAACTTCATCCCCCCCGCCACTACAAAAAATGTAAAGTCATAAACGAGTATATTACAGACCAAATAAGAAGACAAATCATAGTTTATAGTGTTTTAATGAGATGAATGAGCTTGGTGTTCTTTAGCGAGTTTTTTTATTATATCTGAAATTACCCCGTTTACTGATGGAAAGGCGATTTCGTTGTTTTGATAGCAATAGTAGCCCGGCTCAAAACCCCTTTTTCAGCATATAATAGGTCGGAAATGAAAGAATCCAGGGTTCTACCTCCTCAAAAACAGCTGTGTACTCTTGCCTCATAGCATTTCACTCCCTAAATTCACCCCATTTCACACTAAAATAATGGAAACAAAGGTAATTTTCCCAAAGTTATAATAATGATTTTCGTACATCTCATTCATTCCTACAGCCTGATGACCTGCACCAAAATACTTCGGTAAAATTCATCCCCGATTCCTCATCCCACCACGGCCTCCAGTCCGATCACCAGTCTATAGAATTAATCAGCTATTTGTTTTTGGACTCATGGACTCTGATGTTGAAAAAGCTGTGACCGACTATCGACTACGGCCCAGGGGTCGGCAAATTTTATGTCGCTCGTGAGACAAAATTTAGGGTTGCTAGTCTTTTGCGGGTCGCATATATTGTTTAAAAGTTGAAAACGGAACAGCGCGCGAAAACTGCGACAATTCGTGAACTCAACTTAGTCGTCTTATTAAAAAATCATTACAATGACATTTAATGTGACACTGTCTTGTTGCTGCATCCCGCTTGATAGCTTTACGACGCCAAGATTGGAACGTTTTCTGAATAGGCATCACTAATCCCAGTTCTTTAATTGTTCTTTGTAATGTCCATTTTCGAAAATAATTGTTAACACAAATATGTACTTCCAAACATCTAAGTGAATATTCTTGCATGGTTTGTGAAATTTTGATAAAGATTTTCTTTAATAAGATACATTCTTACAAAAATTACGCAGTAATGAATCTCTCGAAAAGAATATGAATTTTTTTTTCTTTATTGCATTGCAATATATTCGAATATTAACTGCGCTATTGAACCCCTGCCCTCAGCATCAACTTTTTTTCTTTGTGTTTCCATTTGTCTAATTATAATTAAATTGTAGGCTCGTTAAACGAGTAGCTAACTGTTCAATAGAATTTTAGGGATATAATAAAATTTAGTCTAAACGTGTCTCACGAAAAATTCTGTTACGTAAAAAAATGTAATTTACTCCTCGAGCATAGATTATAAATAAAATAAATTCATCGTCAAAACTGCCGTTTAGATGTTTACCCGGGCATAGACTTCCTTGTTTACTTCGTGACATTGGCCAATCAGCAAGATGCAAAAATAAACGTAACAATGCCCCCTTTCGCATCCGCTCAGACACACTCACTCGGACAGATTTCCAGGCGTGGTCGTGAACATTACCTCATTTTTGCGTTTTTGAATTATATTCGTTAGTTTTTAGTTATTTTTCCGAAATTTAAATATAAATCATATAAGTCAATGATTACTTTGTCTTTCTATGAGTTTCAGTTTAAATACAGTAATCAAAAATTAGTGTAGAAATAGCTGTAATAGACTAGGCTAAAACTCTTTTTCGGTACTTTTAAAAAACAGATTGTTGAATGGTATGAATTAGAATGATAGTTTGAAACAAATACCCCATTTTACAGACAACAACTCACAAAACCACTCTTGAAATAAGCACCGAAAATTATAAAATGGTAAAGTATAGGAAGAATTTTCGAGGTCAAAGGTCAGAGATAGGTCCATTCAGTGAATCGTCCCGGGCCAGATTATTTTACTCCGGCCGTATTTTGCCGCCACTGGGATACACAAACTACCGTACCTTACTGCGAAGACGAGTCCAGCAATCCTTTCGCGTGTGATAATCGACCACGTGATTTAATCCTGCAAAGCACACAGAGTACAGAATTATGCGCACGATGCGCCGAGCAAAAACAGGTTTCGCGAAATCGCCCCCTTCAACTTTTTGGCCCTCTCTGTATCGTTTTCGCCCACCGGGGGGCGATATCGCCAACTCTGGGAATCACTGCTCTATACTATATATAGCCTGTGCTCTGGCAGGCTAGTGTGATCACAAAATATGTAAAACTGATATCTTAAGATTAATAAGAAGTTTTAGGCTCCAAAAAGCTTCAAAATGAAATGATTAGCAAGATTCTAACAGCATCTAACAACAGTCTCTCTAAAGCAGTGGTCAGCTATCTTCATATACCTACGGGCCAAATATCAACTTTTCCGTTAGCGAGCAGGCCGCAATATTTCCGCCTTCGAACAATCTCCACATTGAACTTCAAATTATCGCGCATTCGCACCTTCTATTGCTGCGTTAAAAGTTTGCCACAATGAGACGTGTATGTGGTCTTTTTTATATGTTATCCAACAATGCATTCTTTTTATTTACTTATTATCAATGTGAATGATGATGTTTTTATGGCAACTTGCCCACGGTACGTCGTCCAAATGACGATCTGACAAGCGATTACAAAATTTAATCCAATTGTATTGCATTTTAGATAAAGCTGCTCACAGTAATATGAGCTTCCGAACATGCTTCCAACATGATTACGATACATGTTTTGCACTGTCGCAGAGATGAGATGTGGCACAGTTCTGTATCTCGGGGTCGAATTTTCAGAGACACGTTTTGTAACATTGAATCCCTCAATATCTGCGATGCTGACTGGGCATATCGAGCAAACTGGTTTGGAAATGCTCAAGAAAAATATTTTCGTTCCAAGCACTTTGGAATGTTTGACCCTCGTCCCGAATTCCCCACCGTTTCTCAGACATTTTTAAGTTTTGAAAATCAACATTAACTCGAACGACATACAACTGTCGCTACTTATTACAAAACAAGCGTTCTACAGCAGACTTGTTACCACATAAATTCGTGTAGAGACAAAAATTTTAGGATAAACTTTTGTTTTATGTATTAATTGTCGGGTCGTTCGAGGGCCGCAACAAATTACTTCGCGGGCCGCATTTGGCCCGCAGGCCGCAGTTTGCCGACCCTAGCCCTAAAGTATGAAACTAGTTTTGCATACAACCTCATTCTTTCATGCCCAGCAGAGCAAACCCAAATCACAGAAAATTAAAAAACAAAACTGCAGGTCCAAATTACTACTCATCTAGCTGTCTAGTGTTACAATGGATAAATATAAAAGCAATTATAATGGAAGACCTATTGAACAATGAAAATAGAGCTACCCATCAATGGCATGAATTCTTTTGCTTCCACACACAGGCCTGCATCAACTTCAGGTGGTCTTTCAAATGAAGCATAACTCCTAATATCAGGGCCAGCTTCATGGCTCTAGAATGATACAACACATAAAAAAATTGTACCTATATCCGAAGTATAAATTTATCATTTAGTTATTACTATTAGACAACAATCAAAAAGCAAGAATACTTCTCCCAAGGAGTACTTGTCAATTTTCCGAACGCACATTTTTGGGCGCATGTTCACTAATCGACGTAAGTACTTCTATTCGGCGTGGCACAACCATTTATGCTTATGTTATTCCTAACCTCCACCTGGCTCAGTGATCTAAAATTACGTCAGTACCTCACAATCACGTCAAAAAGCTTGCCAAAGGATACCTTCGATCGCCCGGAATGGCATCTTTGCCAACGATAACGAACTGACTAATGCTAGTGATCTCTCTCATATCAGGATCATTATGACGAGAAAAATAGCTTGCTCAATTTCGGGTGATCGCCTGCGCGTCTTGGATGACAGATAGTATAGTTTGGAAGGCCTTATTATGTTACTGTGACGTTGTAGTGACATAATTTTTCAATGACGAAGTCAGGTTAGGATTAACATATGCAAAAATCGTTATGTCGCGCTAACTAGAGGTACTTATGTCGCGTTGTGAACTTGGCCCCATTTTTGTTTGGGATCATTGCGAAAGCAATTTTAGGTAGATTAGAAAAGCAATATTAGGTACATTCGAAAAGTTCTAACTTTAGTCATATTGCAGTATTGCTGTACAATAACTCTAAAGGAAATTCCCAAAGTTTTAGAGTAAATTTGTATTTTTTTAGTTAGTTGAATAGAACTAATATACTGACATACAGTATGATATAAATAAAAAAATAAAAGACTTGTACTTGAGAAGAGTTTTCAAATATATTCCTCGACTTGTTTGTCATGCTATTGCTCCTCATCAACTGCTGAAATTTTGATTCCTTTGCCATTCCAAAAGATGGTAGATCGCCAACGAGGGCATTGTTAACTGAAATCAAAATTAAGCATAAAAAATGTTAGGATATTCATTAATTGAAGCACAAGAGGTTTTAAACAATACCAATATGTAAAAATGATTGTCAAAAAGAATATTTTATTGCAGTATTATATCGAAGTTGTGTTTTGTGCAAGAGCCGTGCACATTCTCACGAAGGATATAATCTCAGATTGGGATTCAAATTTCCATACTACTGTACTAATTATGTTTTCAATGTTTCTTTATGCTGGTATTGATTTCCACCATGTTGGTGTTAGAAAAGAACATGCAGTGTTTGTCCAAACTCAAATTCACTGTATAAGTAGGCTATATGTTTATTTCGACTTCATACAGTCATAATCAGCATAACAATAAAATGATTGATAAACACAAATAAATAATAACAGATTATAAAATCAGGAGAGCAAACAAAACCTTAGATAAGGTTTAAAACATACAGAATGTACTTTGGCAATTGTGATACATAATACTGTCATAATAAAGGAATCATCTTACTATGATCGAAAAGTGATGGATCTTGTCCATTCCCGTCCATATTCCGGATCACCAGCTTAAAACAGCATTAGTTTTTCACAGTACCAGCAGGTCAGTCATTAATACCAGAATACCGTAATATTGTATCAGCGTGCGTATCCTTCTTCTGTATATTACCAGTTGACAGGTTGATTGTATGGCTAGTCAAATCTAGGGAAGTGATGATTGTCCCCAGACTGTATGGAAACGACTATTTTATCATGGTTCACTCTGAAATAATCTACGTTACCGGCACGGCGTTTTTGATTTTTGAATAATATTGGTCTTGCGGCAATTCAATCTGTCAATGGCGGTAATTTATGAGAAGTTGAACAATTAATTCTTTATCGAAAATAACACATAGAAACCGGTCTGTGTAATTGATATATCCTCTTCACGCATTTATGTTTGATCAAAAATTGACGAATCTTATCGCCGATGCACAACGAACATGCACGCGATCGCACCAATTTCCCTGCGTGGAATTGTCTGAAATCAAGTTATTTCGGATAGACTCGAGACATTGGGCAATGCGTCTTAAGGCTTACGTAAAATGCGAAATGACAACGAAAAGAGGAGGATATTGAGGAGATTGACAAAACAATCGATATCATTTATTTGCGTTATGAATTGTTGCTTTGATGAATTGCCGGCGGTGTGGCGCGTCGTGCTAAGCGTTAGGAATACACTCGCCACCACATCGCTGATCACTCCGCGTGGGTTCGCGGGTTCGAATCCACTGGAGGAATTATGTGCGAGGGGATCGTTGGACTCCTCGTCGCCACAGGGTGGTTCACGTAACCGCTGGTCGGTTACGGCTTCCATCACCATCAAGTCGATGCATCTGAAACAATAAGTGGCTAACTAGTCCAATACCTGACATGGACTGGTAACCGGATGAGGCAGTGCTTCTGACATATGATTAAGCCGCCTTAGCGGTTAAAGCAATAAACTGCAGAATTACACACTTTCTGAGATCAAAAGCGCATTGTTGTTAAAAACGGGGACCATCAACTATCAGTGAAACAAGCAAGATTTTTACTTATCGATTTTGATCGATAAGTATGTTGATAGGTATTTGTCTGTTTGTTTGTCTCTCTCTCTGTTAGATGCACGCGATATCTCACAAAAGCGAGGTTGAATCTGCTCCAAATTTTGCATGTGCATTCATCATATCTCGGACCGGAAACCTATTGATTTTGGATGAATTATGTCGTAATATTAGCGAGTTATTAATTAATTAGTGATGGGACACGCGGTGTCACTATAGAGTCATGAATCGAAACCGCAGTTTCGATTAATAAGATTTCGGTCTCCGACCGATATTCTCGTATATATGGCTGGTCCCCGAAATTTCGACTCAATTTTTTCGCCTTGAACATCGGAATTACTTTTAATAAAATCTCGGGATGTCAAGAGGGAAATTTCTACTGCTACCAAAATTAGCTTTATTATCGCTCATTATACTGAATATAGCGTCTAAATAAATTTCATGGGTAAATACGACACCGTAAATTTTCATGTTCCGCAGTTAGGTCAGGAGCCTAGCCAAAACATTCAAACGACAGCATTAATTATCACATATCACATTCTTATTGCAAAAATCCGGCCTATGTCACACAGTTAAACCCGCGAGGGCGCTGCTGCGTCATTAATTACTCCCGTGATACTTTTGAACTATTGAATTAGTATATTTTTGGTCATTTCCCTCTAAATTAATCAGCCAATAGATGTCGCTGACGCGAAGAATGTCACAGTGTATACTGTCATACTGTGTATATTTGCATGTGTTTCTAATGCCGTTACACACTTTTACCACTTTTTCTTGCATGATAAAATTATCTGAATCTATGTATTTTTGCGCATCGTCGGAGTAGAGTTTCAATGGGCAGTTCTAAACCCTTGAATTATTTTCTGACATGATTTTGTTTCCCCTTTCTTTCACTGTACATTGCAACTTCAATCAGGTGTGGTTGTACTTGAACACTTGTCTTGTTATTTTATCACTCAAGCTATAGAAGCCAATGTCATCACGGTATAGATGCATAGGGAGAATAGAATTGAAATCATCAAAGATAGACATCATCGTCAACACTTTGTCATTACGCTACGATCACAATAAGTATTTTGTAGACATAACCAGGCTAAGTCTATTCGCTTATTTTACGATTACTGACTTCTTGTAATTGCTCGAGATACAAAATTACGTTATTCTTTGTAAACAGTCAACACCGTACCGTTTTAAGAATATTGGCTTTGTCAAGGTCCAAAAATATGTAATTTGTCATTGGTCCGACTACGTACATTCCCTGACTCAAGATTTCGCAAGACCTCCCAATTTAGATCGCTATAATACATTCAAATATTTGACTAAAGATTTAGGTTTGAATATTTTCATATTGACCACATGTTAGTGGGTTTCTGCTTTGTTCAAATCTCGCGAAAAGTGAGAGTAAAAAGATGGGTACAATAGCGAATTTGAGTCATTTCCATTGTTGTGCAAAAGAAGATTTGTTACCATCAAAACGAAACGGTTGCTACACTGTAGTCTGACGTCTTCTTTCAGTCTTCAGCCACCAAGCAATCTGGCGCTCGAGATATGGTAGCGACATTCCAATATTGTCGTACTTTTAATCCATTTCTTCTACCTCTAACATTTTCAAATCAGGGAACACATGTCGCCAGCCATGACTTTTTTGGGAATGCTGACTCTATAATTTTGGTTTCCATTCTACGTGTTTTACGTTCACGCAAACTTTAATACATATAATTTTTAAAGATATTTTAAATAAATGCAATAATCTGCTAGTCCTATCAGAGTTAGACTAGCTAACTCTAGTCTTGTGAAAAACAGGTACAGTAAAATTTGTTATAAATTAAAAAAGTTCACAGCAATTAAAAATAATGTGACTAATGTGAAAAATAAGAGGAGAAATGTGATAAACGACATTTCGATTACTTTGGATAATTTGTCTGTTAACTCAGATTTTATTTTAAGAATTCCGAAACCCATAAAAATGGAGATTTTGTATGACATGCAAATGTATTCAATTGTTTCGTCATAATGAATTATCATTGTTAACGCATGCCTTGTCACATCACAAAGGCAAAATAACTTCGGCGAACGATTTTCGAGTTTTTGCATCTCAGATTCTAGCTTAGCGCTTATAAATTTGAATTTATACTACAGTATAGGAAGGCGTGCACTTGTGATATTCACTGTCTGAGTCTAATTCACCTTGGTTGGCTTTTATATAAGGGTTCATTGCTGTTTTATTCTTTATATTTTATCTTAGCCTTTTTTCGGTGGGTGTGCAAAGCGTGTTGCACATAGGATAATGTAATTGAAACAGATTAGCTATTTTGATGATTGGACATCGTAGATACTAAGAATTACATTCGTTTTTGAATTGTTTGGTTTTCAGGACTGGTGCATATAGTCAAGTTGCAAAATTTCGTATGTCCCCAAGTCATAGACACATTTCTACGTAAGTCACAGTGCGCCATTATGACGTCACATAACTGCGTCATACAAAAATAAAAGTAGAATGACGAGATGGACAAACTGCAACAGCGCAGTCTGCATAGTGAGAACAACGGATCAACTGCTGCTAAAGTCAGAATCGGCACCCTGGCGTCCGCCCAAGATGAATGTGCTAGTGCAGGGATGGCGAACCACTGACCCGCGGGTCACGAAGTGACCCAACGCGTTTAATTCGTGACCCGCCAAGGCACGAATAAAATAAAATGTTAATATACCAGTAGGCTTGCACGTAATTGACAAACATCAATTCCGTAATTACGGCCAAATCGATTACGTAATGACCCCGTAATTGCGATATTTTTTCATACATTTAAACTTATCATAACAACAAATTGAATCCACTTTATTTTCGATTGGGACATCGAGTTTGGGTTTTCATATTCCTGGCAGTACTGCACGCCGGCGACAGACGTTAAGACAAGAGTGAATTCAAATTAATTTTATTCTGATTTCTATTTTTGTGCTAGCTTTGATTTCCTTTATCACCTTCGCAAATTAACCGTCCCAATTTTATGCGATCAATTTTATCATTACCGACACTGGTATACGGATATTTATGAAACGATAGTTGACTTTTTTTAAATTGTATTAAAAAAATGACGGGTTTCCAATTTATCCATGCCACGACGAGCGTATTTTCTCGTTTGATTGTACTTGCGCTTGCCTCGCGACGAAGACATGTTATTGCACCGTTTTTAACATTATTCGACTTTACTACCTAGTCAGCATTTTATAATAATTATTGATGCCAACTTATTGACGTTATTCCGATTACCATGCTTCATTTTACATTAAACCATTTCGCGCCTAAATGCTGTAACACTATTTGCAACAAATTTAGATCAAATATTAATTATTTGCGCATAATTTAAATACCGTACTTATATGATATTGCTTTTCCGAAAATACAAAGTTATATCGCAAAACAATGCATTTTGTGACATTTATTTTGCACTCACGAAAAAATTAACTTATTTTTCTAACTCAAATCGACGATCTATCAGCCAAGATTGACACAAATTTGGTCGAGTGTCGGTGGTTTTTAATAATCAAAATAAGTTGCCGCATTTGGTAAAGACAGTTAATCATATTTGGCCGAAATATTGCGAAGCATTGTGAAAATATATTGAGCAAGGACTAGTCCGGACTGATATAAAACGATAAAACCGGTAACAGAACATCAAGGTTTTGTAATTGGAAATGGTTCTCGCACAGAATAAACACACTGGCTCATACTTGATATTTGATAGTAGTTAAATTGGGAATATTGAACTGTTAAAAACAAAAAAACGATCGTCGAAATTCTTAAATCTCGTTGCCTTGGGTAAATATAATCCAATGATCAGGACATTTTCAATTAAATACTGCACAAAGATAGTTATACATTAAACATTTAGGCTACAATTTAGCTTTTTTTTTAATTTCAATCATGCATTGTGGTGGAGAAATCCCACTATTTAAATACGGTAACTATAAAAATAGAATAGGATTCTGGATTCGATTTAAATATTCTAAAACAGTGGTTCTCAACCGCCGGTCCGCGAACCGTCAACGGTCCGCAAAGGATTTTTACCGGATCGCGGGAAATCCCGTCATATTGTTGTTTCTCTGCCGTCTCAATCGCTTTACCGATGCCGGAAAGACGAAGTTGCGTTGGTTCATTACGCAATTTCTCTTCCGTCGTCATATTGCTGTTTGATAAGCGCGACATCAATTATCACGGTGACGTATTGGCAAGAGAGAGAAAAGTGAGAAAACGGCTGCAAATACTGAAGCTCTAACTTCTTCTACTTTCCAAACTTTCACTTTTTACAATCGACGGAATTGCCTGCTTTGGAGAGAGCTCGTTTCAATCGCGAAAACTCTTGACCAATAATTACGACTTTACGTAATTCGTAACTTCCCTTCCGTAACTCGAAATAATTCCGTAAATCTGTAAATTACGAGCAAGCCTATATACAGTGATAAAAATTGATAAAACCGGCCTTAAAAAATATTCTAACCATAACTAAACTATTATAATGTCCGGCAGTTTGGTAGCCAGGGCTGCGATCGCCCATACTCAAATTTTCGAGCCGGTATGGTAATTTTCAAAACTCCTAATCTTGGAGCCATGTCTGCACTCTGCACTGCTGTGTAACGATCTGTTCATTTCTGGCAACATCTTGTCTCTTTTGGAGAGGCATTTGCAGACTGTTTTAGGGGTTATACGAGAATCAGATGCTACTTTGCATTTTGTTAGTTTCTCGCCTACAATGCCGTTGAAAAAAACAAAATCTTTCAGATTTGAAATAAAAACCTAGAAATCTGAAAAAACAATGGGGCAGTGTAAAAGTGCCCTAATGTGGTTGAAAGCTGATCAAAAAATGGTTCCATTACATTTGAACCCACGTACATTTGAACCCATGACAATTGCACCTGTATGCTATTGCACCTATGGAATTTTTTTTGTTTCACGGATAGTTAAACCCATACTAACCCTAACCCATGGGTTTGAGCACCCGCATATAGATTGAACCCGTGGATATACGCATGGGTTCAAATGTACATGGGTTCAAATGTACGGTCACCCAAAAAATATACCACTATCAGAGTGGAATTTCCTCCAAACCCTTTGGAACCGTAAAATAATTTGCCGCAACATCCTAAACGTTTTTGTTAATTCATATGCGTGTTTTCGTACTCTAATTTCATAAAATCGAGTATATATCATAAAAAGTTCCTGATAGAAGTGCTGCATAAATAAAGCCCAAAACTACACCAAGAGAAGATTATAAAATTTGCTTTGGAAGTTTCTTATAGATATAAACATTGATTGTATATATGTGACCCACTCTCTTCTGTTCCGCGATAAAAATATAATTTTTGACCCATTCATTGAAAAAGGTTCGCCATCCCTGTGCTAGTGGGATATTGGAGTATATATAATGGCGACCGAAGTATCAGTTGATATCTTTAGTGTTGGGACTAATGGTATTTAATAAGGTCTTTGATTTGTCTGCATCCAGTTTGCATGTCATCTAATGTATATACAAATTTCTATGTACTTTTTTATTTGGATAAGTTACTATGCGATGAATGAAACGAAACATGGGCCTTCGGCTATAGAATAGGAAGAGGCCCTCGAAAGTCTCAATCTGGCGATTTCTGTCTAGCTTAATTTGATTCTACATGAATGTTTTTTTACCATATATACTTAACTTGTGAGCTATTTTCAGTGCACATTATTTCAGCTTTAGAAAAAAGATATGAAATATAAACATGAGAAATTGATGTTTGTGATTCAGATGTATTATTGGCGTGCCTCGAGACCCACATCTTACGGTCTATTGAAATACTTAGTTTAATGCATTGGACCGACCCAAGAATCTCTTCGGCGTTCGCTTAGAAAACCCAGTTTGGTTATCAGCATGTAAAATAAATGTTTAGTTATCTTGTCAAACTAATACAAAATAATTTCAACATTCGTATACTATCCTATCTTTTAATTTAAAACATTCTCAATCAGATCAGAAAGCTGAATATATCTGTCTTTATTTAACAGATCCTGGAAAATAGTCGATACATCTCTAGTGGGAAGCATATATTGAAGTGGTAGAGAATCTGCGTTGGGTTATGAATAACACAATTATTATTCTTTGTTGCCACGAATCGTATATATATATACGAATAATACAAATAAAAAATGAATATCATCTATTATTGGAGAACCTCACCCCTCGCGGCTAGAACTATTCTATCAATAAAACATATTCAGACTATCAGTCGCTATGTGCGTAGGGATTTGTTCGAAAAGAATTGTTTAAAAACAATTGTTTCAAATCAAGTTTTTTTTTGCCTGTTTTGTTCAAAATGGCTGTACTATTTGATTTTTTTGTTCTAAATAGATTAAAGATAAAGGATGTAAAAACTTGCCAAGCGCTTCTTATTTGCAATAAATCTTTCAAAACGCCACAAATATCGATAGAGACTCGTGCACACCTTCTCAAGCTGTAGTTCAGTGGTTGGCGCAGTAAGACGCATAAATTAACCTAATACTATTATTTTATGAGAAAAATGTCAATACATAACCTCGAAATTCATATTATGGCGTCATAACAGATTAGTTGTGGCGTCTTTGCATCAGAGAACTCTTACAATTAACATTGGCCAGGTTAGGGTGCACTTGATTGAATTGCTGTTGTAGTAGGCTCGTGAGCTAATTTTCATGATTTTTCTTACTAAAAACGTCTCTCTGATATCTCGGCTAAACACTCCGGGTAAAATCTTATGACTTTGTTAGAGATATAAAATGGCGATAAATGTACGCAATAGTGGTAAAAGTCAAAATAAAACATTTCACTTACATTTTTGAAATTATAACTCCGGCTGCGTGTGCAGCTGCCAGAATGCAACGTTTTGGCATAGCTTCGCGGCGATGCAAGGGGTATTTCAATAAAAAAAATTGATTTAAAACAAGCCCTTGTTTTAAAAACACGATGTTTTTTTAGAATTGATAAAAAACAAAACCCTATATGTGCGCCCCGGAAACTAACAGAATTGTGTTAAACACAACTAATATAGGATTGAATATTTTACAATTTGCATCTGTTATAAATGTTTTATTTATTTTTTTTTCATTTTTAAATGCTGTGAATAAGAATCAATAAATTCCTTTCACCTTTCTATGCCGTTTACTTTTCTGTTACGCGTTACTTACTACAATTTCGTGAGCTGCAGTTTATTTATCTGCTGTGCTGAACCGAATTTAGCGAACAAGAGCGATTTTTTTCAGTATTTCAAAGGAAGATCAGACAGAGAGGAAGATTTGAGTTGTGTCTTTATTCTCTAGGGCCTAGGCCTTCATGTTTACAAACTTTGAAAGACAAAGTACACATTACCGATCACAAACTTGAGTCGAAAATTAACGATCACAAAATTGAGGCAGAATTTTTTTTATTGTGTAAGTGCGCCGTGAGTGTTTTCCCTGATGATTTGACGCATACCAACACAAAGTTCGGGAACCTATGCTGTAAAGTAAGAGATCAATTCTTTAAATAAAACGATGTATATAACCAGTTTTGCAATCTGTAACCAATGAAATTTGGCATTAGTTTAGAAGATGAAATGTTATTCTCACTTTGTTTTTTATGGGCCATAATTTGATTGCAAACCAAACTACATCGTATATGATGTTCATCAAGTTATTGGATTAAAAAAAATTTACTTTAATTTTAGAATAAACAAATTGGACGATAATTTTTTAATTTAGATTTAAATCCTATCTACGAAGTGTAGAAAAACTAGCCATTCTGCTACCGTGTTTCCCCGAAATAAGACCTAGCCTAAAAATAAGACCCAGCAGTCGATAATGCGAAATCTCTCCTACACGTTTTAAATGATCAATCTAGTGAATTGCAAGACATTCCAGAGGAAGATGATATGTTCATTTTCGAATAATGTATGTTTAGTAGTTTTTTTTTTTTTTTTTTTTTCTGAATAAAAACGTCTTATTTATAAGTAAATGGATATCGGTTTTCATATTATGTATATTTGAAAATTTCGTAATTGTCTACTTCCTAATTTGTTTTTGATGAATGAAAATAAAAAACATCCCCTCAAAATAGTCCCTTGTGTTATTTTTCGAAAGAAAATTGAAATAAAACACCCATCCTATTTTCGAGGGAACACGGTGGATGTTGCAAATCTAAAGTTGAATAAGACCAAAAAATACCTAAAATGATGATAGTTTTACTTTTCTTGTGCATCGAAACATTGATATGATAAGATTGAAGTAATTTCATAAAGCATTCGACGGACGATGTTTTTTTTATGTCATGTTGGGTAGGCCTATTCGATCTACGACCATTTTGATTGTCTTGTCATATTAATTTAATTGTGCACGTGGTGTCTCCCTGTTGCGAGATATCGGTTTTCAAGATATCGCTGCGAGAAAGATCCGAAAACCTACGAGAAAATCCCAGACTGTATAATTAATTTTGGTATAATTAATTGGACATACTTTACATTGATCAGCAGCCGGGATTAAAAATACATATTTATCGCCTCTAAATCTCCTCGGAATGGATTTTGAAACAGTTGCCGTGAGTACGCGACTTGAGACTTTTCATTGGGTAATGATTTTTCAGTTGCGCGAAGTATTCAATTGACGGCCAACACGAGTCTATTTATATTGCTTTGCTCTATCAGATCGTGTGTTTAATGTGACCACGTCGACAAAATAAGAAATTTACTTTGAAATATCACGGCAATCCCCGGCCACAAGAAAACTTGTCAAACTGCCCCATTTTATCTAGTTTCGATTCGTATTTTTGCGATGTTACGAATTATACAAATTTAATCTGCTATTGGAACACTGACTCAGTTCTATCACAATGATATCACCAAAGATTATTTTCAAAATATCAACGTTAGAAAAATCCCTAGATATGCGATAGTATTCTAAAGACTACAATTTATTTTAGTACAATAATAATTGATTGTACAATGATACACCGGTAGTCGACCAAAAATTCGATCTCGAACATTCGAGTGGTGGTTAAGACTGGCAGACGAAAATCTTAGTATGCAGTTGAGTTTCCAAACGTCAGTTCGTCCTAATATTAAGCGCTTGGTAAAGCAAAAAAGTTTCCAAAAATCTCACTAAAAAAAATCAATTATTCCTTTCCCGTTTTATGCTGCAATATATCATTAAATAACCCAAGCTGTATGGATGAAGTTGTTCGTTCTTGTTGATGAAAATTAACAGGTATCATAGTATGATTTGTGCTTACTCAGCGGTGACAGATAAAATTTAGCTTAGCGAATGGGTTTGTCACCCCTGTTATAGAGGATGAAATGTTATTCCTACTATGTTTTTTATGGGTCAAAATTTGATTGCAAACTACATTGTATATGATGTTCATCAAAATATTGAATCACAAATTTTACTTTCATATTAGGATGAACAAATGCAAAGTAAATAATGATTTTTTAATTCAGATTTAAACTCTATTCACAAAGTGCAAAAAAATAGCCATTCTGCTACGTGTTTCCCCGAAAATAAGACCTAGCCTAAATTTTAGAAATGATTTTAATATAAGGCGCTCCAGAAATGTGTGTACCACTAGTTTTGTTGGCCTACTTTACATCGAGTTGTGTAAAGGGACTGAAACCTATGGGCTGTTGGTATATTCATTTGGCTAACACAGACAGTCCCCGAACTGTTGGTAATAGAAATACAATAACGAAAATCGGAACGAAATCATGATCTAACCATAACCTGGTACACGCACCACGGGAGTACCGATTTCACTGTCTAGAATCGGCGTTCAAACGGCAACGTGACGCCTATGTTTTGACAAAATGTGACCACGCTTGTACAGCGATTAGAGCGCATACATATGTTGGTATCACAGGTTAAGGATTCCTGTGCCTCATTGGGTGAGCAGTGTAAAACAGGGAAGAGGTTTTAGGTTTCTAATCTTTAAAGAATTTGCTTTATGAAATTAACAAATAATTTCATTATTGAATGAACAAGTGAGTACAAGACTAGATTACCTAGTACACAATATAAAAAAAATGAAATGAAAAATGATATGATTGAAATTTAAAAAAGTGTCTTATCCTCATTACAAGATCTTACTTCAAATGTCACTGTAATAGGTAAATGACCATGAAGATGAAAATTTAACAATTGCAAAAGACATGATAGAAATATAAGGTAAAATAACGATAAAAATATGTATGATGTACAGTACCAAACATGTCATAGATGAATGATCAACTTAGTTAATATAAAATTGTAGATTTAGTAGAAGTGGGAAAACTTAACATCAGAAATATTGTTTAATTTTCATCATTATTAATGATAGAAAATTAACTTACATCAAATCATAGATTGAAATAATAAAAATGAAGTTTAGTAGGTAACCAACTCAAACTTAATTATTCAAGAAAACCATATTAAAACACATTCATTTGTCAATAGGTATTAGAATGTACCGAATTAATAATAGAAAGCACACAAACTTTTAAACCTGCACTCGCTTCTTGTTTGCTACTGAGTTGTGTAAATTGGACCTCATGTACAAATAATACAAATAGTTTTGAAAAATATGGATTTTAGCACGTCATCATAGAATAACAAAATTTTAATCCAAATCTCAATAGAAAGCAATCTGAAGAATCTAACATATTTCTTGATCTTATTTTTTACTATATAGTGATTCTTTTTTCTTATAGAACATGCTTTGAACATAAACGTAATCTTCATTGTCAGCATTTGTTGAAAATATATAAACAGTAAAGGCTGAAATAAAAAAAAAAATGATTAATTAAGTTGATAACAAACAGCGACAATGATATTATGTAGTGTAGGTATCTTGTAAAATGTATGTTTGTTTGATATCACATTTCGGCGCTCCAGAAGTGTGTGTATCAATATGGCTAATTTTGTTTGCCTATTTTACATCAAGTTGTGTAAAGGGACTAAAACCTATCGGCAGGGGGTATATTCTCTTGGCTAACACAGACAGTCCTCGAACTCTATAAGAAACTAAAATAAGAAAAATCGAAATAAAATTATGGCCTAACCTGGTACACACACTACGGGACTAACAGGAGTACCCATATTTCTCGCTTTGTTTTATGAGCCACACTGAGTAAATAATACAAAGGAAACCCAGACATGAAAACCTAGGTTTTTCTTATTTTATTTTCGCATTCAATTAAGTCTAGCAACATACCCACATCTGTATAATTATGATAATATATTAGGGAAAATTAAAACACAAATTATTCATAAGCATGGTATACATCAGAAGATCCCATTAGACCAAGAATCAAGGAGCCAATTACCATGAATAAAACATATTAATACATTGCTTTCAAGCACTAATTATAATGATCTTCAAATAAGTACGCAATCAATTACCGCATGTTTTCTTGCCATATAGTTTTTATTGTAGGGTCGTTGTTTCCACCAGTCAATAATATGTTATATCAAAAAAGACATAAATGTTACCTGATGCTAATATCAACCGATCAATTGTCATACATGGAACAAGCCAAAATATAATCAGCAACCCAGAAACAGTTGCATGCCTGAAATTTCCGAGGAATCTTTGTGCATCAGATGTTTTCGCATGCAATGGGCATCCTAGCTGATTTGCTTCATAATACACCTATAAAAAGTGTCATGATAAATATATTGTCACCGTAAATCTAAATTAAAGCAGTTGACTTTGCTTTTTCAGTAGTAGGACAAGATTTTACCTATGTATGAAAGAACTCATTGACAGGGGAGAAATACACCATATAATCAGTAGAAATGTATGTTATTTTGGTCCGAAGGCAGGAAAATGTATCATTTTTTTTTATCAGTTTACAGTTAGATTTTTGTTTGGTTTGGTAAAAACAACATTTAAAAAAAAGCTGAAATACTATCGTTTCCCCTATAAAGTTTAAGTCTTATTGGAAGTTTGAATAAAGCTGCTATGTTATATATAATTTTACAAAAAAATATGAAAATTAACCTGCTTCAGGCCCATAAATTCTGAGAAGTCTAGCATGTACAAAGCAGAAATTGTGTGAATCCAAGCCACAACATGTAAACTCTGACATATGATTTGGCACGATATGCAGTTACTATAATCCCAGAGAAACAAGTTTGAATAAGGAACAACATTCAACCACGAAGATGTTAAGACCTATAAACAAAGAAAAAGGTATTCAAATACTGCTGTGAATTCCCAAATGCTGGGAAATCCAGGTTTGCCTGAAATTGCATCTGGGACGAACATTTAAATCCTATCCCCCTTTCTACATTTCCACTATCCAGAATGACTGATGCGTGATTAGACTCAAGGTCGCCATTAAATATATTTAATTTTCCACCAATTATATTCATTTTTTAACAAAAGAGCATAGAAATCTCGAGAAGCACAGCACAATTCGGCACGGCCCAAAATCCAATTATACGATTAATATATATGTATAGGCTAATAAGGCTACACATTCAAATGAGCACCAATCACTGGTTACCACCAAGTCCTAATTGGCCGATACTTTAATAACTAACCTGAATTGCCAGCCCAGTTGCAAGGTTGTAAAAACATCGATAAATATGTCGAGGAATAACATAGGATACAACATTTTTGAACCATTCAGCAGCCATCACTGTGTGTTGCAATATGAACATCATCAAGACAACAATATCTTGTACAAGTACATGACTTAATGGCACATCTGAGACAAAAATACGATAACATTACAACATGATATCAAAAGTTAAAACGAATGAAGAACAAAGCTAGAAACTTTTATGAAGGCAATTATAAAGAACTTAAAAATGCATGTGCGATCTTCATCAAATTGATGAAGGGTACTTTAACTTAAATTACACCATGCCTTATTAGTTGGATGTTTTCAGGTCAAACTAACAATAAAAACCCAAAATACAGTCTAAATCAACACTGATAAAGTTAACCCAAAATATTGAACAACTTAATAGTTCAAATGATTGAAATCAGACAACTTTCTCACCCAATTTCTGTATTTTCAGATTCAAAATTCCATTAGAGTTGCTGGAGAGAAAATACACAAACAAACTTGTCGTATATAGCAGGTAAAATAAAGATGATAGTGCAATAGCAGTGGAAAAATAGGTAACAAATATATCCGTCTTTTTGTTTGTTTTTTTAATTTTCATATTCATAGAATCTCTGATTCTGTGTGTTCTGGAGTTGTTGTTGTTATTGTTGACGTCTTGCCCAGTTATATCTTCATTATCTGAATAATCTGCATGACCAAACTTAGGTCGAGATCGCAGCTTCATGGTTTAGTAATTAAGTTCAAATTAGAACTTTTAATTAAAACTGAAAATGTTTAAAAGATACTAAATTTAATACGGAAAATGAAATAAACAGTTTTTCATAACCACACAAAATATAGAAGTGAGATTTCTACAAAGTGAGCATATACTCACTGTCAATTGGATTTCATGATAATAGCATCAATAAATTGCACATTGAATAAGTAAGACTGAACATACATTGTCGCAGAAAAAATGACCATTATTAATTCATTCAATCATAATAGATGATGTTCCTTGCTTTGAAGTTGTTTTAAATTCTCATAAACTAACGAGTTTCACAGAACAAATTCGTTTCTAATCTATCGTTACCATGGATAGGGAGCCGGGGATGGAACTTAGCTTACAAGGCTAGAGCAGCCAGAAATTTCAGTGGCTCCATTTATTTATTTTTCAACATTTACGCTTTTTTAATACAACATACAATAAATAAAATCTAACCCTTTCAACTCATAAATTTTAATATAATTAGATGAGTTAAAAAGTTGAATTTATATATCCAAAACTTTAATTTTGAAACCCCTATATCATAGTTTCGAGATTCGCTTCCCTGAAACTGCATTGGGCAGATATTTTATGGCAGTGATCAGAATTAAAAACCTCAATTGGTATGAAGCCAGAGCTCGAGTGATTTTGTGATTTTGAACCAGTTCCCCAGCCAATTCTATATTACTGTATTTCTATAGTTTAATACCTCTTTTTTATGGAGAAACGGTGAATCTTGCCCCAAAACTAAGCGGTTACCCAGAAGCATAAGTATTACAAATAAATTAATTGGAGCATAAAAGATTACATTTTACTCGGTTATACTCTTGATATGAGAATCAACCCCATGCCTGCGTCTTAGCATAATGCAACACAAGTTTACCATCCCCTCCAAAACATTCATATAAAGTTCCAATGTCTCTGTCAGGTGAAGGAGCAAATGCTTGGTTAACATATAGAAAAATGGATTCAGACTGTTCGCATTTTAAAAGTTTTCTCAAAAATCCAGCGATCCATTCCACTTTTTTTGCAGGATCAACTTGCCATTTTTTTCTTTTCAAAATTGGTGCATCTCCAGCAGGCCGTAACAAGACATCTATTTTTGAGGGCTTTCCTTCCTTTTTGGGAGTGTCGTCTGCCATGTTCACTTTTTCGTGCAATCACAAGTGCATTAGTATAGCCAGACTACATCAACATATGCATCCAAATGCGCCTATATTACTAATAATTATATCCAATTGGAAGTTAAAATACTATAATCTACATATAGATAAAATATATAACAATTAGATAATATATCCATTTTTGCCACAAACACTAAAAAGACAACGGCGCAATACACAAATGAAACATATAAGGGACAATGACTTTCAAATGCCTGCCTATGCTTTCCAAGCATTTCACCATATCAGATACATGGTTTTAATACACTACTAGCCACTGGATAGTTATATTGCACAATGGTATTGCAATGAGACCTATTTTGAAATCTCTCACAATTGAATAGGCCTGATTTTGAAAATGAATATATGAGGAATTGCTAACTAACTATCATTTATGGAGAAAAAATTTCAACAACAAATTTTCACACTACATATAAACAGTATTAGTAAAATAAAAAATATGGAACTTACAGCTACGTGTATGATTTCGATACACTTGATACTTTTTTTTCATATTTCAAGATATTCATTTAAATATTATTATTATTAAGATACCAGTGACTTGTATTTGACGCATTGGCCTGATATTGTGAAAAATAAATCAAATTATTTAACAATCCATTTATCATTTGAACAGATGAAAAGTTCTTATGCAGCAAAACCACATAAAACAATAACAGTAAAAAATACCATTTATTTGTATTCAAAACAATATTCTCTGATAACATTCATTACTCTATAAAACAGCATTTCTCAAAATGTTTTCTTCGGAACACTGCAGTTCCGCAAGCTCCTTCGAATCATTCCGCGGAACAGTGATCGAAATAATGACTAAATTATAATTAGTCGCCATGGCGAACCCAGTAGTACTTCAGCAACAATGGGTCCTAAATTCGTCTCCAACAGGCAGACAGGCCTCGTGCCAATCATTTAATTTTTTAATTATCAACTTTACAGCAAAAGTTTTGACTTTACCATGGGATAAATTTTTTGGAAACCACCCATCAATTTTACCTTCTAATTTCTTGGTGTTCCGCGAGGCGAGATAAAAAGCGTAGATGTTCCGGGGCAAAAAAGTTTTAAGAAACGCAGCCATATACCAATAGATAGGAAATAATTTAATGATGAGTTTAAATTTGAGAAGGCAGTATGAATTTTAAATGATCTATTACTAATAATTTATACACCATATTTTATCTATTAAATATTTGGTAGGTTAGAAGTTTGGTTTATACTTTTTCACTTCAACCATAACATGGTGAATATTAACCATTTCAGCCCTTGTTGGAAGCGATTTGAAAGCTTGATGTGAGAGGATTTTTTGAAAACGATGATAATATTGAATTAATTGAGTCAACGCAGCTTGCAAAATTGAAGTACCATTCTTGAAGTTAGTGAAAGAATTCATCACTTCTTGGTTTATACTTTGAATAGAGGTTTTCCAGTTCTTTGTGAAAGATCTTACGAGAGGCATCACTCTATGTTCTGCTTTCTTGAGCAAATCCATTTGACTAGAATCCGAAAGAGGTTCAACTTGTTTTATGAAAGTTATTAAAGTTAAAAAATGAGATGACAATACTTCCTCAATGTACTCTTGTGTACTTGAGTTGAGAAGATGTTGAAAGCTGTCAGATTCTTTAGATTCATCAGTTGTGCGCTCTATTATGACTGACAACATCATGTCATAATTATTAATCAAAAATATGAGTTGATCCTTGCGATCATTGAAACACGATGCCATCCGAAGAATAAAGTTTTGAACTTCTGACTGCATCTCCTCAAGAACTTGGTCGACAAGAGTATTTGGAGACGTTTCATTGATTCCCACAATTGCTGCACTAAACTCAGCATATCTGCGAGTGATGTAATGAGGACGAACGTCAATAGATGCCAAGGAATTAACATCACAAGTTTTGATGCTTTGAGTATTAAGTTTGACAATATGTTCAAACCTCGGCCATAAAATATCCTGAACAGTGTCCCAGTATCGGTTCAGAGCAAAAATATCCCTTTTTTGCATAATTTTCCTATATCTATCAACGATGTGAATGCAGAGGAAAAGTGCAATGGAATCAAAACTATCATTTGTATACGACGCAACATGTTTCATCAACATTGAAATCGTCTTTCCCATAACGCTGTTGAACATTTCTTGTGCGCTTGCCTTGGTGACGAGAAAAAAATCACATAGAAAAAGATATTCACGACAGCAGTTATCCATGAATGCATAATGTTCACTCCGAAATAAACTTTCAAACGGATATCTTTTGTCAATTCTTTGGGCTGCATGAGGTACTATGACTGCAGATTCTAAATCAGTAGTCAAAATGCTTCCTCTTCCACCCAATGTAAATATAGTAGCTCGATTTTTTAGTGGCATTTTTGAGGAGAAAAATCCACGACGTGCAGTGTCTTCGATTGCTATTAGATCATCTTTATCAGCTACTTCATCATATTGCACTTTCATTAATCGAGAAACATAGGTTTTAAAATATGAGAAATAAACTTTGCTCATAGTATCAACATATTCCTCTTGTACCTCTTTCGCAATGGCTCTTTCATTGGATAACAAAAACTCATAATAAAACCTTGATTTCAACATTGCATTTTGCGGTACTTCATAGTTACTCATAGGCTTACGAAATGAATAAACTTTTTGAAGCAAATATTCACGAATTTTAGCAACAGCTTTGAATTTAAGTTTTTGTACTGTGTCACTAACATCACGACATGCCAAGGTATCGTTGAACGAATGTTGTTTTAAAAATTTGATTTTATGATTGAGTTCATGTAATTGCTCTAAAAATTCTCTTTCTGTGACAGGAATTTCCAATATTGCTGTGATCATTGCTTCAGGAACAACCATTTCATCAACAAGTTGACTCAACTCGCTTTTCACAGATTGCCTGTTTTTGAGCTTCATATTCATGGTGATGGATTGTTCCTAAGATCAATAAAAAATTGAATTTAGTTGTTTAGTTAATTAGCTGTCATTAACCTTGAGAAATCTCTGTAAATGATGAATATCTAATAAAACAAAAATTGTGACGAGATATTTTCATATTACGGTAATTCGAAGTTGTTTTTGAGTACATTCCTCATAAAATGGAAAGCTTCTTCTATGTGTCAGAAAATTTTACTTTGGGGGTCTCCATTTGCATGGAGAAAGATATATTACTTTGAGAATCCTAAATCATATGATAATAATAAAATGCAATATCATAGAGTAGATCTTTTCTTGAATATTAACCAATACTGAATAGGAATAGAGTCTTTTATAAAACTGCTCAGGATTTTTACGGATATTATTAACAATTGGTCATGAGATCATGATATCTTTGCCCTGCCTGATTATAAAAGGAAGCCTCAAAGCTCATCAATGAAAATCAACATTATAATTGACTGAAATAGATAGGAAGGCTAGCTAACATTGGTGGATTACTTTGAAATCGACATGTCTCACCAGCAATAATATCATTCAATTTATTAATAATATAAAGTTAAAATCTGATGTATTATGTCAAAGTCACGGATCACAGATTACGAGACCATGATTCATCATATTATAAAAATGTTGCATGGTATAGATATAAAAATCCTAATGTTACTAACCTGCAATGATTGAATTTCAGAGCTTATACTGCTTAATGCATGTTGAAAACCATGTAACATGCCCTCCATTCTTTCCAAAACAGACTCACAAGAGCCGATTCGTTTATGGAGGTCAGCAACTCTTTTACTTTCCCTTATATAATCCTGTATCGAATCCTTTTCCACTTTTGTCAAGTCTTTCTCAATATTCTTCGCATACTCTCGAAGATCTACACCTTTTTCCAAAGCCTCTTTGACAAGGTCATCCTCAAGATTCTCTTGAATATGTTCTCCGACAGTTTCAAGCATATCTTCACTTGCTAAAAGTTGAAGATCTTCTAAATCAGGATAATACATATCCAGGTCGGCCTCACGTTGATCAAGATCCAGAGGTTGGTTTTCCACCAGTCCAGTAAATACTTTACTATCTTCCATGGTGAATTACTAAGGAAGACTACTAATCTTAGGTCTAAAAAATTAAAACAAATTATGTTTCAAGCACAGTTATTAAATGTGTGATAAGAGTGAAAGAATAAGATACAACTAAAAACTAGTCAGCATAAAACGTGGTACAAGTTGCGATTGCTATTGCCTATTACATTTGAACATTTCTATAAAAAACTTACAGAATAAGACATACCATACTTTGATTACGGTGACCGTACATTTGAACCCACGTACATTTGAACCCATGTGTATATCCGCGGGTTCAATCTATATGCGGGTGCAAAAACCCATGGGCCAGGGTTAGTATGGATTCAAATATCCGTATAACAAAAAAAATCTCCATAGGTGCAATTGTAAGTATGTAGGTGCAATTGTCGTGGGTTCAAATGTACGTGGGTTCAAATGTAATGGAACCTTTGATTACACCCCACCCCGAATATGTTCGAGGAGTAGTGAAAGCACAAAATGCAATGCTACAACCACATGAAACTCAGCACTTATATAATTAAAAAAACTTTTAAGCATTATTAATGAACCATATTATTTAGAACAAATTCCCTTGAAAATTGAAGAAATTCTTTATTCACCATTAGCACCCTTCCTCAGTATACAGTAATACGTGTCTATCAATGGAGTAGAGGTTATGCATCCCTGTTTGATGGAAATATTCATGTACAGTGCATTACTTGTTAAAATACTACAATCAAAACAAACAGGGCTAAGCCTATCACAGTATTCAATAATGTATTCATTTCATCATGCTACTCACTCATAGCCTCATAGGACAAATTTCATAAACCAAAATGAATTTCGAAAATTCACAAACAATACCTAAAACTATCCATATTTCCCAATATGATTGAACTGTATTAAAATTTACAGAAATTTCCAATTTTACTTGAATTTATTGGTTTTCACTGGTTGGATAAAAAAAAATTGAAAATCACCTTTTTAATTCTCATTGAATTTTTGGTAAGGCATTACATTGCAACCTAGAGTTGAAGCCAATCAGCTAATATTATTATGAGTTTAAAATTAAAGGGCTGAACAAGGTTAGCGACAGTATGAAGAATTATCGAAATGTGTTGATATATGATGGCCAGATAAATTAGCACCCCATATCTTTAAAAACTGTTATTCAATTAATATAAAATGCATATTGACTATTCCGAGATGAGAAACGCACAGAGCACCTTTCAAGAGGAAAAGTAGTGATATCGTACAAAATAATGGTATGAAAAAAGATGATAAAGTGGTAAAAAGTCTGAAAATATTATATAATAAAGACATTGCAGAACAGGTATATTGAAACTCTAATGAGATGCATTGCCATTTAAAAATAGGAAATGTGTAACAACATGTAAACAATGTTTGGTCCACCTACTACAGCACATATTTAACTAAAGAACAATCAGGTAAGAATAAAAGATATATGAAACTATTTTTGAAAAATGTATAAAGACAAATCTGTTTTAGGGTGATACTGTTTTAAGACTTTTGAAGCAAAATCTTAACTTGACGTTTTCAAATACTGAGAAAAAATATTTACTATTTATAAATTCACAAACTAAAATAATAGGGGCTTAAACATAAAATAGCAAGAAAACAAAGAAATAGGAGTATAACCGACTTGGGCAATGACTCGTCTGAATTAATAGATGTTTTCAAATACATACTGAATTCGCTTATTTATAAAATATAATTTTTATTGCCAAAATTAATTATTGAAGTGAGCAAAAAGAGCTTTTTTGTGGTTTTCTTCGAACTGAAGCTATTTTTACTGCTTCTGAGTTTGCAGAATTGGCAATTTCTGCTGTTACAATTCGATGTGCTTGTTCAGTTTCTGCTCTTGTTAACTTGATCCCGAGAATGTCAGCAGCCAACATTTTAAAACAAAGATCCACAGAATCACCTGTTTTTGCTGATATATAGTGACTCTGCAACTTGTTTTTTGTTGCAAATGTCATATGTTTATCTTTTGTGACAGTTCTTAAGTGCTCGAGATCACATTTATTTGCTACAAGGGCATAATGTGGTTGCGAATCATGGGCCATCGATTTAACAATTTCATACCATTCTTCAAGATTTTCAAAACTGTGGTGATTTGTAACATCGTATACAAGCAGTACTCCTTGGGCACCAAATACATATTTATCAAGCATATTTCCACCAAGAGTTTGTCCGCCAATATCCCATATTTTTAGCGAGACATTTTTCTTATTCGTAAGTCTTATTCTCTTTAGAAAGAAATCCAATCCAACAGTTTGTTCATAATTACGCCCAAATTGATCCTGTGTGTAACGAGTAATCAGTGAGGTTTTTCCACTCGAACCATCTCCAAGAACGACAAACTTTAATTGCACGTCTTCAGTGTCATCTTCAGAATCAGACATATCAAGAATATTATATATTAGTCCTGTAGTCTGCAAACAAAGTAGTCTACAGGCCAAAAATAAAAAGAAAATATTTGAGAATAGAAGTCAGGAAGTGGAAGAACCTATTGCATGTATCAATGTCTGATTCTGAGTGTACAGGTGTAGTCTATGTACTGATGTATCAGATGTATAGACAGATATCTGAAATATGACTACATCTGTATATCTAGATATACTGATAGTCATAGTCAAGTTTATTTTTTCCCATTCAGTAAAAAATAACATACGAAATTAACAAAATACAAAACTGAAAACACATTTTTACTGGGGAAGGGAAGTCGCGGGGAACCAGGAATGGTTATCGAGCAGCGACACCCGAGGTTCAATATTTAACTTTATTTTTTTTTTAAAGAAGTTACGTTTTTAGAACACTTTTAATATGAATGACCAGGCTTTGGCAGTTGAACCACATCCAAGAGACATGAAAGTTATATCCTATGAGACTACCATGAATAGTACATGGCAACATCTCTAATCGAGCCCACCAGATAACTTATGGGGATTCCCCGATTGACAGGCACTGAAGTGTGTAAATTGATTGATGTATACTAGTTGCTAGGCATTGATAAACACATGATGAGGTGATAAAGAAGACATGTAATATAATTCTAATAACAATATTATATAAATAGAATAAGCAGATCAATGATGTACTAAGTTGGACGAAGTACCGTACCGGTGCGGTACTATGTGTAATCAGTCATAGAGGTGTGATACATCATTGTATACATATGAATATGAATACACCCACACACATAAAAAAAAAAAACATTCTGAGTCAAGTTGTCAAAAACATCCAGAGAAAGTCGACATGAAAGTCTTCTTTGAATTTGATTTGGAATGTGAATAAGGCAACAACATGCATTGTAGCTCAAGACAGTATTTTAATTTCACAGTTTAAAAGTGAACTCAATAAAGATAAATTCAATAATATTCATTTGTCATAGAAGAAGACAAGTAATATGGAATTCAGAAAAAGCTGTTTGATAATTACATATATCATAGCCTGTATAATATTCATTAGGTCAGCAGGTTGGTGCAATAACTTTTTTTTTTATTTCCAGGTGGTGGTATGGTTGCAGTAACAAGAACATTCAATTTGTTGCAAACATTCGAAGTAAGTCGACAAGAAATTGCTTTTCATATCTGATTTGGAAAGTTGATAGGATATCGATATGCATCATTTCTCATTGAACCTATAAATGGCACATGCCATTGCTCGGAACAGTGATTTAGATATATAGTCTGTGTGGGGTCTGGTATAGTTTAGTTAGTACCACATTGACAATTTTTGCATATGTCAATCCTAACCCCTACCTGACTACGTCACCGAAAAATTACGTCATTTCGACGTCACGGTGGCGTAATAAGGCCCACCAAAGTATGCGGATCGAGCAAGCTATTTCTCTCGTTTTCTCGTCACAACAATCACAATACAGCAATAGGAGAGAGATCGCCGACTTGAGCGAGTTCGTTATCAATCGGCGGCGCAGATGCCATTTTGGGCGAGCGATCGTCTGGATCGTACTGTCGTAATTATACTTTGGCAAGCCTTATGGCGTGATGGTGACGTCGTAGTGACGTAATTTTTGGATGACATAGTCAGGTGGGGGTTAGGAATAACATATGCAAAATTCGGGTCTAGTATAGTTTAGTACCACAAGTACTTCCAGTGGGCGTAGCATAACGATTTTTGCATATGTTATTCCTAACCCTCACCTGACTATGCCATCCAAAACGTCCCTACGACGTCACCATCACGTCATAGGGATTGCAAAAGTATAATTACGATCGCCCGAAATGGCATCTGCGCCACCGATAAGAACTTGCTAAAGCCGGCGATCTCTCTCCTATGTGATCGTTGCGACGAGAAAACGAGAGAAATAGCTTGCTCGATTTCGGGTTATCGACTGCGCGTTTTGGACGACCATCCGCATACCGGTACTTCGGTGGGCCTTACGGTATTACGCCACTGCTGCTTTTTTTTTATCCACCACTATATGTATAGGCTACCGACTAACGTTAACTAATCCCATACCGTAGGGTATCGGTACCGTACCGCCGGTACCGGTACCGTACCCGACATGGAATGGTACCGGTACAGTAACCGGACGATACTGCGAGTGGCCGTGTTTAGTCATATGGTTAAGCCGTCTTATCGGCTTTCCTCTCCCCCGGGATAAATATGTTAATTCTATCCTATCCTAAAAAAAATTTATCATCAATATTAGTTATTACTGTACCCTAATAGTTTATTAAAAAAAGCACAGTTCAGCAGTTTGGGGCTTGAAATTGAATCCTAGAAAGGAGGACAGAATGAAATTTTTCTTAAGGCATTTAGAGAGCAGGAAGGTTGGGCATTGGCTGGTTATTTGTGGAATGACAGATACCGTACAGCTGTACCGGTACCGAACAGACAGGACAGGCGTGCAAATCCAAAAATCAGGGCGTCTTGGCGTGCAAGCAGTTTCCCCGACACGCCAAACATCTGAGTGCAAACCTACCGATACCGCGTGAACTCCTAGCGTGCAACTGAAGGAATAGCCTAGCCGTATTTGAAAAAAAAACTTGAATAAACAAGTGTAAAATAATTTCACCATAAAATCCCCACCGGCTTACCTGTATTCTCAAATTTCGCGTGACGTCATAACCACGTGACAAAGTCGCTCGACCAAAACTGCAGGTATATCTCGCTGGACTGTCGTCTGCCGTGAACTGTTTTGCGCGTTCGTTTCCTGCAGTTGTGTTTGAAAGTATATCTATTTTGTAGCGTTAGTTGGTATAGCCTATGTTTGCACGGCATTTGTTTGTTCCTGTAGCTTAATAGTACAAGGCTTTATGATAATATGTTACGATGAGACAGGGTGTTAGCACTGCAGTATTTTTGGTTTGCCTGGATCTGTAACAGTTTTTTTGTCGGTCATTTCCAAATTTTTAACAGCATATGGAACTGTACGTAACGCGTATATAGACTATAAATAATCTCCTTTTTATTGTTGTGCATTAATCCATATAATGGCGTCGTCAGCTTCTGTATAGCCTATGGCATTCACCACCCCGATTTCTATACAAAAAAAACAAACGCTAGCCTACTTTGAAAAGCTTAAGATGTGTCACTTGGAAGAATGAACCTAGGCTATATGTCACCACAGGATGCATGAGCGGATGAACATCTCTATGGCCAAAGGTTGAATACCCTGACGTATATATTAATATCTCATCAATACACCTAGAATATACACAAAAGAGGCCATGAAAAACAGGAAAAGTTTGGAAGCATACAAAATTGAACCGTTCCAGCATTCGGTGTACAAGCTATTAAAAATTTGACAGTGGAATGTTTTTTGTAATCAGAGTATACTTGGGCTCGGGCAAGTAATCGTTTCGGTCTATTGATAAATATTTCACAGCAGTCTATGATGCCAATCTTGGGAAGTATTGTCGAAAAAGTGGTGTGTTTTAATATTTGCTTCACAGTCCAACAAATCAGAAACAACATTTTGATTTAGATTAAATCAATCCAGCGCCAGAATGCGTTGTCGAGAGTCGATTTAGACAAATTGAATATGTCTGCTAACGTATCAAAATGTTCGTTTAAGCGTAGTTTTATGAGGGTCATGAGCATTTTATAATAGCACGGATCTGGCAAACAGGTGCAGAGGAAATTGAACATAACATCAAATGTTTCTACTGGTAAAACAGTACAGTAAATGAATTTTTTTGGCTATTTGCTCAAGTTCTTGTAACTAAAAATGTTGAAATTTTCTAGTTTTTCCACTGCCTCATTTCTCTCCATTCCAAGCTGCAAAAGTTCTACTTCAAAGTTTTCTAAATTAACTAATTTGTCTAAAGCTTCATCTTTCTCTTTTCTGATTCGTAAATTTTACTCCTCGAGTAACTCCAATTGATTTTCTTTGGAGGTTGCATTTGACTTACTATGAGATGAAGCTGCAGTATCGACTGGTTCTGGATATCTATTGAATATTTCTATTTTATGACTTTTCGCTTTTTTATGCAAACTGTACTGTATATTTATTCATTGTATCCGTTTTTATTTGAACTTGTTTTTGTGATGACAAATATACGATTGATTGATATGCACACTTCTATCTTTTGCACTGCTGTATCTGGAAAGTGTTTTTCAAATTGGATTTACTTGAGGCGGCCGAATATACAAAAATTGATGGAATATAGTCTGGATGGCAGGGATCTCTAACTGGTTTGCCTAAAAAATAAATTTCTTGCAATTTTTTTGACATGACAACAACTCAGATACTTTCAGAAATTAAAAATTATAAACATTTCAGTTTATTTCACCAATGAAGAAGTGCAGTGGTACAGTCCATAAGTGTAAGTCAGGAAAAAAACACAATAAAGAGCATTACAAAAGTTTTAATACATATCAAAAATAGAGCAATTCCAGAAATAAAAAAAACTATTGGCAAACATGGATATTTATCACTGATAAAGTGCTTACCGCAAATGTGGACATTTGGGCCCGTTGGATTCCACGCGTTAGATAGATAGTTCATTTTGAAAACTCCATAACAGACATAAATTAAAGATAGAGAATTCTGGAGAGCAAGCAAAACCAATATAATCTCATGCAAAGATATTGTGGGGAGTGGAATGTAATAAATTGGCAAAGATAGTCATACTCATGAAGCCATGAAAGCTTTAAGAAGAACCAAGCCATGAAAAACTACACTGATTGCTAGATGGGGCATTGCGGAAAAGGTGATAAGTGGTTTAATATACAAACAAACGCAAAACCATGACGGAAAATTCGGTGTGCGAACACTCATAAAAACAATTATCAAGAAAAACACTAATCACATGTGAACAATTCTGTAGCCTATAATTGATATATTGACGAGGCCAGCATTGTTAAAACAGTATACACACAGAGAGAACAAAACAAAAATATGCCATTAAATGAATGTTTAAAAACGTTGCGCATTGATTGGGTCATAGTAAGTTACCCTGCAAACTATTTACACATGT